ATGAGGTTTTATATCCACTGTTAATGCCCCTATCATTATGTACCCTGAATACATACCCTTTTGCTCCATGCTTCCAACTTGAGCCTCAGTTCTGATTTTTTTTTTTAATGTTTGTTTTTGACCTAGCAGTTTGAGGAAGAGATTTCTTCTACTTCCTTGGAAACAAACAATGCATCCATAGGTGTACCCTATCCACTATGTAGTTGTTTTTGGTTCAGGAGAGTATCTAAGTTTCCATATTGCCATAAGTCTTTCATTCTTCTGTTTTGTTTTAGCTGTTATCCTCTATCACACATACATATAATTCCCAAATCTTTTTCTCATGTCTCTTTCTTTTGAGATTGAACTGTCTATTGAATATTTCTCATTGAATATTCTGTCAATACCCTAAATTCAGCATTTCTAAATATTAGACTCATTATTTTCCTCAATATGTGTGTCTGTTTCTGACTCCCATGTTTTTATCAGAGATGTTACCATTTTGCTCTGGTTTTAATAAACAAAAATGAATTTTATTTGGAGAATTTCATGTCGTGCCTTAAGATTCTGGCATGAAGTCTTAGGAAATCAGGTTTGGAGTTTACTGCTCCATATTTGGAGTTCTTAGATTTATAAAAATAATAATTTTATTAATATTTTAATAGTATCTATTAAATATAACACTTTAATGATGAATTTTATATTTATCAATAAAGTAATATCAATATTTATTAATAAATTTTGATTACAGATACTGTGATTATTTTAATAATTCCTGTACTTATATTGTGATTTTATATATATCATTTCTTTTTTGTTTACTTATTTAATTTTTTATTAAGGTATTATTGATATACACTCTGATGAAGGTTTCACATGAAAAACAATATGGTTACTACACTTACCCATATTATCAAGTCCCCCCACATACCCCATTGCAGTCACTGTCCATTGTGTAGTAAGACACCAGAGTCACTAATTGTCTTCTCTGTGCTACACTGTCCTCCCCATGATCCCCCCACCCCCACACCATGTGTGTCAATCATAATACCCCTGAATCCCCCTCTCCCTCCCTCCCCATCCATCCTCCCACACCCCTCCCCTTTGTTAACCACTAGTTCCTTCTTGGAGTCTGTGAGTCGGCTGCTGTTTTGTTCCTTCCGTTTTTGTTTTTTTTAAGGTATCATAGATACACACTCTTATGAAGGTTTCACAATAAAAATAATATGGTTATTACATTCACCCTTATTATCGAGTACCCCCTATACCCCATTGCAGTGTAGTAAGATGTCACAGAGTCCCTGTTTGTCTTCTCTGACCTACACTGTCTTCCCTGTGACCCCACACACACATCATGTGCACCAGGCATGATACCCCACAATCCCCTTCTCCCTCCCTCCCTCCCTCCCTCCCCACCCGCCCTCCCCCGGCCCTCCCCTTTGGTAAACACTAGTCCCTTCTTGGAGTCTGTGAGTCTGCTGCTATTTTGTTCCTTCAGTTTGCTTCGTTGTTATACTCCACAAATGAGGGAAATCATTTGGTGTTTGTCTTTCTGTGCCTGGCTTATTTCACTGAGCATAATACCCTCTAGCTCCATCCATGTTGCTGCAAATGGTAGGATTTGTTTCTTTCTATGGCTGAATAGTATTCCAGTGTGTATATGTAGCACATCTACTTTATCCATCCATTTACTGATGGACACTTAGGTTGCTTCCATTTTCTTGGCTATTGTAAATAGTGCTGCAATAAATATAGGGGTGCATATGTTTTTTTTTTTTTTTAAGAAAAGGTGATTGTCCCTCACACTACCTATTTTTTTTTTTTAATTTTATTTTGGTATCACTAATCTACAATGACATGAAGAACATGTTCTTCATGTCATTGTAGATTACTAGGCTCCCCCTTCACCAAGTCCCCCCCACATACCCCTTCATAGTCACTGTCCATCAGCGTAGTAAGATGCTGTAAAATCACTACTTGTCTTCTCTGTGTTGCACAGCCCTCCCCGTGACCCCCCAACACTATATATGCTAATCATAATGCCCCCTTTCTTTTTCCCTGCCCTTATCCCTCCCTTTCCACCCATCCTCCCCAGTCCCTTTCCCTTTGGTAACTGTTAGTCCATTCTTGGGTTCTGTGATTCCGCTGCTGTTTTGTTCCCTCAGTTTTCCTTTGTTCTTATACTCCACATATGAGTGAAATCATTTGGTACTTGCCTTTCTCCACCTGGCTTATTTCACTGAGCATAATGCCCTCTAGCTCCATCCATGTTGTTGTGAATGGTAGGATAAACATAGGGGTGCATCTGTCTTTTTCAAACTGGAGTGCTGCATTCTTAGGGTAAATTCCTAGAAGTGGAATTCCTGGGTCAAATGGTATTTATATTTTGACCATCTGAGGAACCTCCATACTGCTTTCCACAATGGTTTAACTAATTTACATTCCCACCAGCAGTGTAGGAGGGTTCCCCTTTCTCCACAACCTTGCCAACATTTGTTGTTGTTTGTCTTTTGGATGGTGGTGGTCCTTACTGGTGTGAGGTGATATCTCATTGTGGTTTTAATTTGCATTTCTCTGATGACAGGCGATGTGGAACATCTTTTCATGTGTCTGTTGGCCATCTGAATTTCTCTTTAGAGAACTGTCTATTCAGCTCCTCTGCCCATTTTTTAATTGGATTATTTGCTTTTTGTTTGTTGAAGTGTGTGTGCTCTTTATATATTTTGGATGTCAATCCTTTAACAGATCTGTCATTTATGAATATATTCTCCCATACTGTAGGATACCTTTTTGTTCTATTGATTGTGTCCTTTGCTGTACAGAAGCTTATCAGCTTGATATAGTCCCACATGTTCATTTTTGCCTTTCTTTCCCTTGCCCGGGGAGATATGTTCATGAAGAGGTCACTTATGTTTATGTCCATGAGATTTTTGCCTATGTTTTTTTCTAAGAGTTTTATGGTTTCATGACTTACATTCAGGTCTTTGATCCATTTCAAATTTACTTTTGTGTATGGGGTTAGACAGTGATCCAGTTTCATTCTCTTACATGTAGCTGTCCAGTTTTGCCAGCACCATCTGTTGAAGAGACTCATTTCCCCATTGTATGTCCATGACTCCTTTATCGTATATTAATTGGCCATATATGTTTGGGTTAATGTTTGGAGTCTCTAATCTGTTCCACTGGTCTGTGGGTCTGTTCTTGTGCCAGTACCAAATTGTCTTGATTACTGTGGCTTTGTAGTAGAGCTTGAAGTTGGGGAGTGAGGTCCCCCCCACTTTATTCTTCCTTCTCAGGATTGCTTTGGCTATTCGGGGTCTTTGTTGGTTCCATATGAATTTTAGAACTATTTGTATATGTAGAAGAATGCTGTTGGTATTTTGATTGGGATTGCATTGAATCTGTAGATTGCTTTAGGCAGGATGTATTGCCTGCAATTTTATAATTATTTCCTCCCTGCTTTCTTCTTCCGTCTCTCCCGACAGTGTCCTCTTCCTCGTGCATAGCTCTGTTACTGTTACTTATTTTCGTAAAAATCTACATGGTTCTTCATTGCCCGTAGAATAAATAAACTTTTGATCTGGTGTTTAGCATTAGAAAGTTTATCTTACCCACCATCATTCCTTCCGTGCCCCACCCCTTAGCTGCACCAGGCTACTTAGTCCTTCCTGTTCCCCAGCCTCCATCTCTGTATCTTGCTTATTTTGCTTTATCCTTGTGAGGTGCCCGTTGTCTCTCATCTTCAAATTCTACCCTTTCTTCACAGTTCAGCTCTATTGTCATCTGTACAAAGCCTGTCATTCAGAATCTTTCTAATGAACTTGGACAGCACTTTATCTGTACCTCTCTTATGTTGCTTAGTGCTTTCTACCTCATACTAAAGATGTAAGATACAGCACTCACTGACTCAACTAGAACTCCCAAATGGAGCCCCGCTGTGGGACTTACAGGGACAGTTCAAAATAAAGATTCTTGGGCCTCATGCCAAGTAATTTCTAGTTCAGTGGATCTAGGGTAGGCCTAAGTTTACAGAGTAGCCTGTTAGAAGCCATTCTGAAGGAAAAAAGAGTGATACCACTTGAGAAGCCAAGCAATGATTTACAGCAGATTAATAAGATAATATATAGTCTGTATTATCTGTCACATGTGTGCTGTTTATTTATGTTATGGTAGAAGAGAAAGAAGATAAAATAACATGGGCCAGTTTTCAAGTCTAGTGTGCATTCTTCCTAACAGTAAAAAGTGAAACCACATTATTTCCATAGAAATGTGACCTTTCTAACCTCACTGGAGGTAGACATTGCTAACTAACCACAGTATTCTTATTGCTGAGCCTAGGTGTGTCCTCAGCATCATTTTCAACATAGCACTTCCCTAGGGGCCACCAGTCATTAGATATTTGCATAATGGCAGGAAAACCTCTATGTTAACCCAAGTATTAGAAATGTTGTTTAGGGTATGTCCTGTAGTTTAAAAAAAAGATACTGTAAACTGACTGTGATCCCAACAATCAGAATTCTTTATGTGCTTATTAGCAGAATAGTGTAGTTAAAGCCAGTACATCTCAAAGGAGGTTCTTTGATAATGCCCTGGTAGAATTCACTGCTCTATTTCTGGTGTGACCTGATGTCTTTCATGAAATTATACTGAGTTTTTCCTCCTAACTGCCATGTCATTTATTCAGAATTTTTACTAAGTAAAGGTAAAGAAATTACTTTCTTCCTAAGAATCCCTAGTCACTTAACTTTTAGAGGCACTCATGCATGAAGGCCTAATGATGACATGCTGGAAAGGTTAAGCTCTGAGAGCATTGGATTGTCTCTACTGCCTTACTTAATGTTGAAACATTGTCCTTATTTTCAACTCTACCAAAATGTCTTCCTCTAATTTTGTTAAGCTTGTGCTCACGTGACACAAGTCTTAGCCCCGAGCATCCAGCCACCCTTTCTCACCCACTTTTCCCCTTTCTAAAACAAGCCTAACGCTTACCAGTTTTTTACTTCTCTCCCTGCACTTTCCAGGTCAGATGACGATGACACGGAGAGTAGGAGCTCCAGGGTGACCCAACTTTGCACTTACTTTCAGCAGAAATATAAGCACCTCTGCCGCCTGGAGCGAGCAGAATCTCGTCAAAAGAAGTGCCGGCACATGTTTAGGAAAGCCTTGCTGCAGGCGGCCAGTAGAGAGCCCGAATGTACTGGTCAGTTAATACAAGAGCTGCAGAAAGCGGCATGCAGTCGAACCAGGTTAGAGCCATACATAGCCGCCTGTCTCAGTCTGTTTTCTGTTCTCTGTATTTTTTTTAGGGTAGTTGAGACACAATGGGCAGTAGGCATTGAGGCCTGAATACAATTAAGGATTGTATTTTGGGTTTTTTGCTCAGAAAATATTCTATACAGGTAACAAAATAATACTGCCAGGAGCTGATGGTGAAATTAAAGCATAGTGTAATTTTGTTGGAGTTTGATTATAATTAATTCAATAAAGGATTTGAGAATATTGCCTATCTTTAAAAAAAATACAATGCTTAGAAATTTTATATGCTATTTAGAAGTAATATTTACAGTTTTTACTACATAAGAAATAATTTACATTTTTCACTTAAACAGTTGACCTTTGAGCAATATGAGTTTGAATTGTGCAGGTCTACTTATATACATGGATTTTTTTCAATAAGTATATTGAAAAAGTTTCTGGAGATTTCTGACTATTTGAAAAAACATTTTCTTCTCTTTAGCTTACTTTGTTGTGAGAATACAATATATAATTCATATAACATACAAAATCTGTGTTAATTGACTGTTTATGTTACCGGTAAGGCTTCTGGTGAACAGTAGGCTATTCATGTTAAGTTTTGGGGGAGTTAAAAAGTTACATGTGGATTTTTGACTGCAGGGGAATTCACACTCCTAACCCTGCATTGTTCTAGGGTCAACTGTATTATTTAAAAATTTTCTTGCCGGTGTATTTTCTGTTAATATCTGCATTATCCCACATACTGTATGTTCAAAATAGTTTATAATGGATTTCTTTTGGGGAAAAAAGCCTTTGTTTATATTGCAGTACTTGCTTATTGTGAAAAATTTGAAAACTATAGAGTAGATAGAAGGGGAAAATCTCTGTAATAGCATCCACCATTCACAAAACAAATCATAAGCACTATGAATGTTTTGTTCTGATTCCTTCTAGTCCTTTTCTGTGTGTGTATTTGAAATCTCTAGTGAGCCATATGTTTGTATTAAAAAGTAAAACTGAGGTAATGGTGTATATATTTTTTATTTCCTGCCTTTTTTCCACTTAACACTGAATCATGACCATTTTCTCATGATATTAATTATTTAAAACATAGCTTTAAACAGCTTCATAATACGGATGTCAACTCCTGGACTTTCCCTATTTTATGTATATATTTAAGCAAAACTGGATCCATACTATTTGAGTTAATGTCCAGTTTATTCCTTTAAAAATATATCATAGCCATCTGCCTACATTCCTAACATGATTTGTATTTCTTACATAATATTTTAGTGATTGAAAATCCATATTTTGGAAATGTAGATTTATTTGATTCTTCAGTGAAGATATCATAGTGTATTACCATTTTGGAAGTTTGCTTATCTAGATGGTGAAAACTTAAATTGAATCATAATTAGATTATTCACCTTTTGAAAAATACTAGCTTAATTGAATTAAAATATTTTTAAAACATTAAAGGAAATAAGTTTTATATTTGGAAGGTTTAGTTTCATATTGAGTTTACTTTTTCACACTTTTTGCTTATTATTTTTTCAGGTAACAACCTTGAACATATGTGTATAAAACATTTTAGGAATTCATATACCTAAATTATAGCAGTGATTATCTCTAGATGGTGGAATTTTTGAGAGGTAAAAATAATTTGTAGCCTGTATATTGTAATTTTTCTGTAGTGATCATGTGTCATGAAAGGGTTTAGAACAAACAAAACTAAAAAATAACCTTTGCTTTGTAACTATTGATCATATTTCTTATACCTATATATGTATTATTTTTCCTATATATTTGAAATTTCATTTTAGTATTGCATGTTCTGGTTTTCATTTTATTCGTTGTAAGAAGGTATTATTTTACAGTTGCATATCTCAGAAAGATACTGTGCCCTTAAGAGTTTCTGTTTCTTGGCATAGAGTTGTTTGAAACTATGTATGTGTATCTAATATATCTGCTTAAGGATTGCAGCCTATTTTCCCTCATTCTTAGAGCTCCAATCCTCTGTAAGGGAGGTAGTGTCTGTTCTAGAATATCCTTTAGGTCTTAATTACTTACTCAGAGATTTATCTTTCTCAGAGAAATATTCTCAGATTCCCTTGACTATTTTGGTCCCCTATTATATCTGTTATTGTACTCTATGCTTTATTTAACTACAGAATTATTAATATTAACAGCTGGCTGTCAGGCTAGACAGTAATTTCTATGAGGGTAGGAATAATATACATCTTGTTTTTAAACTTCCAGTGTTGGTGAATGAATAAACAGAATTGAATAAATGAAGAGACATCTGTTCTCTATTTGTTGGAAGAACCCACTCAGTTTGACATAGGTTTTAAAATAATGATACTAACATTTATATTATATAATGCTTTCAAGTGTATAATTTCGGTAGAAACTTAAGTTCTGAACCCAGCATGACAATCTGTTTGCAAAGCATTATATACATTGAGTCTAGTATATTATTATGACCTTGTTAAAGATGTAAGAGTCTTTAAAGATGTTGAGTTTGGGACAATTTGGTATTTATGTAGAAAACTCTGTCTCTAGTTTGCAACTGGCAGAATCAACCCCTTCCTTTCAGAACATCTCCCAAACCACCTTTAGTGATGTTTTTAAAAAAATGTCATGATAACTATTACAAAACAAACACCAAGATGAACTCTTACAGTTCTGAAGTTTATTTGCTATAATTTGGTTCTGTCACCCATGATTAGTAAAAAACTTTTTGCCTATTGCATCACAAATAATCATGTACCAACGTGCCATAATCATTCCTTGGTGGTTGTTGGCTTACGGTAACTTAATATTTTAGGTTCACAAAAAGCAGCTGTCAGTCAGATGATGCCCTCTATTAGATATTTTTGCCATCAAAGACCAGTTCCACAAAAGACACTTTAAAAGTTCCTGTTAAATATTTTAGAAATTAAAACTTTAATGGCTTCATTCTACTAGGTACTCTTTAAAATACTGTTTGGATATAAACCAAATAACATCAAAGTATTCTTTGTTTTCTCATAACTTTATCATGTTTATTGGTAAATATGTGGAATAAGCCATTGAAATAGCTTGAAGTATGTAGACCCAAATCAAAGAATCTTGTAGCCCACAATCTTCTGGAGACTATCTGAATGTCATTTGTTTGAATAAAAACTTCATTGTTGAAGGGGGATCTAATAGAGTATACAAAGGAAGCCTGTAGTAGGTGTTTTCATGTTAAAAACATCAAAACGTTTTGGTAATTCTCCCTTTGTTTTGTTGGGGTTATTTGGGTAATAAAATATATCTAACATCACATCAGGCACTTTTACATTAATTATCCATGGGAATATGAAAATTCTGACTTAGGGTTTATTTTAAGAGAGAGATTGGGAAGTTGGAACATATTTGTGATTTAAAAAAATGAAATCAATGGTTTTCTTTAAAATCTAGGATAAAAGAAAGGACTGTGTTGTATACTAGGCTTGGTAGATGGCTGATCAAATTATTAAAGTTCAATGAAAATTATCTATTCAGTATAGAGAGCTACCTCCTGTTTAAATCCAGATCAAGAGAATTTGGGCTTAGCCGCCAAAATATTAAAGCTTCATTTATTTTAAATTGTATATCCTTTTTACAGGGCTAAAGTTAATGACCCACTTCCCCACTCTTACTATCCTGACAAACCTTGCAGAACTCTTACTTGAGCAACTACTACAGCAGCACCTAAATTATCTATTTTTATTTACTGTTTATATGAAAGTTGTAATAGAAATATTTTTTATTTAGATTTGATGTAATTTAGATTCTGTATGACCTTTAATTTGTGTAAATCATTCCATTGACAGCCTTAGAAAAATACTAGAAATAAGCAATTCAAAAGATTTTTAAATTTTAATGTCTGACTTACATATGACTGAGTAAAGGCCTAATAGTTTGTTATGCTTTTATAAAGTCACAAAGGATAGTTTTTGTACTTCTAAAAATTTAAATACTGTTTATTTTATTTTTTAATTTTGAACGAAAACTATAGAAGGATCTGCAAACTAATAAACTGAGTATTTATAGAGTGAACAGAAACTGGCAAAATGTGACAAGGATAGAAAGGAAATAATTTACTGCCTGACTTTCTATTCTTTGGGTTTTTGTTTGGAACCATATGAATGCATTGCCTATTCATAAAATTCTAAAATGAAATTAAAATATTTGAACACTAAATTCACAAAGGGGAGGACCGTATTTAATAAAAGATATACTTGCTTATATAATTAAAAGTTAAAAAAATTTGTCCAAAGTGAGTACATTTTGGAAGATGAGAGCAGATCAACCATTTCTGCATATCAGGATCCCTTTCCTTGTGTATTAAATCAGATTTTTTGCAGATTTACTGTTTAGCAGCTTGATGTGGCCAAAATGTAATGATTGCAGCAGTGACTAACAGCCACTGACTGTTTACTAGGTACCATACTATATTCTGTGGATGATAAATGTTTAGATGTATTATATGTTTTGGTGCCTACCTCTCAGCTAAAGATATTCTTTTTTTTAAAATTTTTTATTAAGTATTATTGATATACACTCTTATGAAGGTTTCACATGAAAAAACAATGTAGTTACTATATTCACCCATATTATCAAGTCCCCACCCATACCCCAATGCAGTCCCCACCCCTCCCCTTTGGTAGCCACTAATCCCTTCTTGGAGTCTCTGAGTCTGCTGCTATTTTGTTCCTTCAGTTTGGCTTTATTGTTATACTCCACAAATGAAGGAAATCATTTGCCACTTGTCTAACTAAAGATATTTTTATCTCCACTTTACAGGTGAGGAAGTGGAGGCTTAAGCAAGGCCAAATAACATTGCCCAAGGTCACACAGCTAGTAAGAGGTAGAGCTGAGATTGAACCGGTCTGATTTACCTAGTCTCACGTTTCCTCACTTTTTGCTAGTACCTCTTTGTGAAGTAAAAGAACCAAAATATCACTTTAAAAAAAAACCAAGTAGACATAGTTGAAACCGATAATAATATAATTATTTTGTCATAAGATTGGGAAAATACTGGAACTAGTCATTGTAACTCATATTTGAATTTTATTTAATGAATGTAGATAGATAACATATTAGTGTTACATTGTGATAATATAATGTTGAAAATTTGCCCTGGATACTTCAAAGCATTTTAAAAAATTAATATTGGTGTTTTCCCTTTCTTAGCATAAGCCGGACCAAGTTGAGAGAGGTGGAACCAGCAGCATGCAGTGGAACCATGAAGGGTGAACAGTGCGCTAACAAAGCCCTTCCATTCACCAGACATTGTTTCCAACGTATCCTCTTCTGTAAATTGAGCGTGCATTACAAAGTGATTCATTCAGGGCTACGTATTTCATTCTTAGGCCAAGTGAATGACTTGAAATCATAACTAATGTTTGAAATAATTATACATGACTTCTGATTTTCATGATATCCTCTGAATAATGTTTTTCTGCTTATGTGCTTGTGATTCTTTAGTCAAGAGTCACAGCAAAATAAGCAAAACTGAAAGCAGGTAGCAGATTCTTCCAGTGGTTGTCACTAAATTGAATTTTAACAGAATTTTGGTCCTTCCAGTGGTTCTGGGTAGTTTGTATGAAGCAACTATAATACTCATTGATGGAAAAAT